TATTGAAAAAATATTATATCACATTATATTAAATTTCGACCAAGAAGGAAATATTTATTAGTTTTATATTTTTTATAAATTTCCATAAATTTTGACAGAAATTCACTAAAAAAAACAAAACACAAATGACAAATGTCAATATTTACGGAAACTTCGAGAAAAAGCGATTTATGATTTCTGAAAAAAAAATGGACAATTTTAAAAATTTATTATTTTTACTTATTGAAAAAGTAACAGATATATTATAATATATCCAACAGTTATATCCAAATGAGGCAAAATGCTATATTCAAAATAATAGAAATTATAATGTTTATAGATTTAAATAAATTTTGATAGTTGTAAACTAAAAAAAGTGAAATGTTATTTATCAATATCTATGGAATGTATTAGATGAATAAATTCATCATAAACAAAAATTTTGGCAGGTCAAAAGAATTAATTATTCCAACTTATATTACAAATCACATTTAAGATACAGAATAATAAATTTATCAAATTTAAATAAATTTGAGCGGTTACGAATTTAAAACAAATGCCGAAAATGACGTTTGTTAATATTGTTAAGAATAAATTGATTTATGATTAAGATTTAATTTGCTTAAGTTGTTCATTCAGGTGAACATCACAAAATTAATATAAATCATGATTGAAAACTGAATATTATATCATATTATATTAGATTTCGAAGTGCCAAAAATCAAACATAGATTTGAACTCGATTTCCTCAGAACTTTATCAAAATGTTTAATTATTTCAGTTTATTTATTATTTAAATTAAAAAAAAAACACTTTAATCAATAGTATTGATCCATCATATTCAAATTTCAATCCGGATTTATTATTTTTGGATTGATATGAATTTTTTATAACAAAAGGTTTGAAATTTGGTTGTCAAACGGATTCAAATTTCAATCAGGTGGATTTTAATAGGGGCCGTTGCAACGCAAGGCTGGGTATGCTAGTATATATATATATATATATATATATATATATATATATATATATTCTGTAAATGTCACATGTCAGTTAGTACCGTGTCAAGCATTGATTGAAACAATTGTCACTTGCCAATGCAAGGAATAGTTGATGTTTTATATTAAAAAGTCAAAAGTATAGTTTTAAATAAAATATTAAAGAATGTTTAGTAATAAGTAACTGTTATTGAAATTACACTGATGATGAGGCACACACTGGTCTCGAAACGTTGTAATCATAAAATAAAGTTGTGTTAAACAAATCTGAGTGCTGTTTTGTTCATTTAAACAATTAATATTCGTTCCACTCATATCATAAAATTCTATAATATATATATATATATATAATATATATATATATATACTATAATATATAATATATATATTACCATACCAATATGATATATTTGTACAGTGTCCCAGAACTCAACGTCATAGTATTGATCCCAGAACTCAACGTCATAGTATTGATCCTAACTGTCCTTAAAAAAATTTAGAAAAAACTGCTCACGTTGTTTGAATTCTACTAATTTGTAAACAACCAATTGTAAACACTTGTCAGAATTCTCTGCTAAATATAATTATTTTTATAGATTGCAGAATAAAAAAAAAAAAGTTGTTTGAATGACTTTTTAAGTCTTGATTGACAAAATAATAAATAAATATAAAAAAAAAAAACGTTGTTTGAAAATTATTATGTGAATTAACGTTATTATTTGAATGCTGACGAACCAGAATAAAGGAATTATTCCTATAGAGTGTCCCAGAACTCAACGTCATAGTATTGATCTTAACTGTCTTCAAAAAAATTTAGAAAAAACTGCTCACGTTGTTTGAATGACTTTTTAAGTCTTGATTGACAAAATAATAAATAAATAAATAAAAGAAAAACGTTGTTTGAAAATTATTATGTGAATTAACGTTATTATTTGAATGCTGACGAACCAGAAATAAAGAAATTATTTCTATAGAGTGTCCCAGAACTCAACGTCATAGTATTGATCCTAACTGTCTTTAGAAAATTTAGAAAAAAAAATCATTTCACGTTGTTTGAGAACTATTATTTGAATGCTGACGAACCGGAAAATGATAGAAATATTTATATAGACTGTCCCAGAACACAACGTCAAAGTATTGATCCTGACTGTCTTTAAAAAATTATGAAAAAAAATCATTTCACGTTGTTTGTGAATTATTATTAAAATGAAATAATATAAATATTTATACAAAGCGTCCCAGAACTCAACGTCATAGTATTGATCTTAACTGTTCTTATAGAAATATTCATACAGAGTATCCCAGAACTCAACGTCATAGTATTGGTTCTAACTGTCTTGTAGAAATATTTATACAGAGTCTCCCAGAACTCAACGTCATAGTATTGATCCTAACTGTCCTTATAAAAATATTTATACAGAGTATCCCAGAACTCAACGTCATAGTATTGATCCTAACTGTCCTTAAAAAAATTAGAAAAAAATTATCTCACGTTGTTTGTGAATTATTATTAAACTGAAATAATAGAAATATTTATACATATTTATTTCTATAAATATATATAGAAGAATTTATAGAGTGTTGCAAAACTAAACGTCACAGTATTGATCCTAACTGTCCTTAAAAAATTTAGAAAAAAAATCTAACCAGTTTTTTAACTGGTCCATAAAATGTTATTTACGATTACGAATTCAAAGTTTAAATTAACCAAAGTAAAAAAAAAATTAACCACAATAACCGAAAAATTATCATAATTTTACCAAAGATTTTAATAATTTTAAATTCCAAGTTCAACAAAAAGTCTTAAATTTTGAAAACTTGGTGCAATTATGATAGTTTTTATTTTTCGGGTCCTTAAAATGTTATTTACGATTATAAATTAATTAACTGTATATAGCCGATTGGCGTATAATAAATAAATAAATTTAAAGTTTGAATTATCCAAAGTAAAAAAAAAATAACCACAAAAACCGAAAAATGGTTACAATTTTATAAAAGCTCCTAAAAAATTATTATCTAGCTATACAGTCATCTAATATTTATGAACAAAATTATTTAGACAACGTTTTGAAAAAATGATTTATTTTCTTTATAAATTGCCTATTAATTAGTATAATTTATGAAAAAAAAAACAAATAAAATTAGCGCTATAACAAATTCCAAAAAGCATTTTTATGAATTATTTAATTTAAGTAATTTTTAATTTTTTTTTAAAATAAGATTTTGTTTCCAAAAAAAACAAAAAATTTTGGTACTAGAACCATTTTTTTATAAAGGTTCGTCGTCTAATCAGCATTCACATCTCCCATAGTTTTTTTTAACTATTTTTTGTCAAAGGCGAAGAGGTCATTAAGTTTTTGCGAAAGTTTGGCAAGTGTGTAAAAAAGTATATATATATCTATATATATATATATATATATATATATATATATTAGGGTGGTCCTTAAAATTGTCATTTTCGAATTTCCTTGCTCCCAGGGGCTCAAATGGTTACAAATTGATAAAAAACAATTCTCTGAAAGTTTTAGCTCTTAATATTAACGTTTAGATAGAGCGCAATTCAATCAAAGTTTGTATGGAAAGAGCATGAAAAAAAATTTGAAAATTTAAAAAAATGTTTTAGGTATAACTTAGCGACAAATGAATGAGTTTTATTCATTCATTTGTTCGCTAAATTACATCTAAAAAATTTTTAAAATTTTTGAAAATTTTTCCATGCTATTTCCATACAAAACTTTGATTGAATTGCGCTCTATCTAAACGTTAATATTAAGAGCTAAAACTTTCAGAGAATTGTTTTTTATCCATTTGGAACCATTTGAGCCCCTGGGAGCAAGGAAATTCGAAAATGACCATTTTAAGGACCACCCTAATATATATATACCCTAGTAGAAATGTATCGTGGCCAGAGGGGTAAAATATCGTGGCGCAATATTCGAATCTTGTCTTTAGATGGACCGGACAATATTTATTTTCAAAATTATGGAAAATTTGGAAAATTCATCGGAAAAGTGTTTTATATGGTTTATTACAAAAAATAAACATGTTTCCCATCTGATTTATGCCTCTAATTTTATATTTACACGAATTATACATAATTTTTAAATGTGGGCGAAATCCAAGTTTTTTGTGGCCGACCAAGATTCATTTCTTCAGTATTATCGAACTTGGGAAATACATGGTATTTATAAAGGTCACGAAAAAAATTAACTTTAAATAATTAATTAGCACCAAAATCATGATTAAGGCTTTTAAAAAGTCATATGCTCGATCGCAATTAATAGTTTGATACATTTTTCTTATAAATTCAATATAAATTTTAAATGTGGGTTTCATGCATTTTTTTTCTGGGCGACCAAGATTCATTTCTTCAATATTATCCAACTTGGGAAATACATGGTATTTATAAGGGTCACGAAAAAAAATAACTTTAAATAATTAATCAGCACCAAAATCATGATTAAGGCTTTTAAAAAGTCATATGCTTGATCGCAATTAATATTTTGATACATTTTTCTTATAAATTCAATATAAATTTTAAATGTGGGTTTCATGCATTTTTTTTCTGGGCGACCAAGATTCATTTCTTCAATATTATCGAACTTGGGAAATACATGGTATTTATAAGGGTCACGAAAAAAATTAACTTTAAATAATTAATCAGCACCAATATCATGATTAAAGCTTTTAAAAAGTCATATGCTCGATCGTAATTAATAGTTTGATATAAATTTTATATAAATTCAATATAAGTAGTAAATATATTCACATTCATTTTTTTGTTTATTATCGAACTTGGGAAATAAGTGGCATTTACATTGGTCAAGAAAATAATCAATTTTAAATAATCAATTAGCGCCAAAAACATCAATAGTGACTGTTAAAAAACATATTCTTGATCAGAATTAATTAATTAAAGCTAAAATAATTAAATCCATTATTAAACGTGCAGATATGCAAAAATTTTCATTTTCGATTTTCGTCCCATTACTATAACTACTCTACGGGAAGTTAAAAAAAGCAATGAATAATTTAACTATATTATATATTTATTAAATATAAATATGTATTTATTAACTATATTTAACGACATTGTAAGTATGATATCATTCAGTAAACAAAACAAAAATAAAATTATACAAGATTATAGTAGTACAAAAGTACCAGAATATATAAAAAATTTAAATAATGTCAGTACCGAGAAAAAAAATACAAATTTAAACAAACTGTTTGATGAAAAAAAATCAAAACTTCGAATAAAATAAAAGTTAAATAATAAAATTTTGTGGTTAGTCACATGACTTACTTAAATTTGTTTTTTCCTGGTTTGGTATGTATTAATATTATTTAAATCTGTTATATCTACAGTAATATATCGATCTATATTTAAAAATTTAGACGTTTTGTATTTATTCATATAGAATAATAACATTCTGAAATTGCATCATATACATGTATGTATGAACATCTGGTTTTTGAGACTTCTCAATAGTGTCTCTTCTTTCTTTCATATAACCGATATTTGTATAAGGCTATCTCGCTTAGAAATTTTGACTGTGTCCCTTCGTGTCCTTTGGTCATCGCGTTTCGTAGAAGGACCTTACGCATTCTACCTGACTGATATCAGTTGTGGCCGAGATTATTTTATACGTAATTTATGAACTAACATTATGTCATTGCAATTTTGTTTTAATTACATATTTTTACATTTTTGTAATAGCAATTATTATTTATATTACGATACTAGTTTATTATTTATATTAATGTGATTTAAGATTAAAAGTTTAATTAATTTAAAGGCAAAAGAAGATTTCTTTCAATTTATTATTGTGTACATAGAAAAAGAGTATGATTGTAAAAAATGTTTTTCGGTTGGTCCTTGAAGAAGGAAAAAATCCAAAAACCCAAAACGTATAATAAAATAAGTAAAATATTAATTATATTTTGTGAAGATAAAATTTATGTAATATAATTCACAAAAAAACCAATTTAATAATATTTAATAATAAATTTTATATATATAAACATTTAATATAATAGTAATTAATAGCGTTTTTATTAATGCTTTGAATATTTTCTAAGTAACATTTCACAGATTATGTAATTTACTAACAATCTCATATTGAAATGAATGAAAAAGAAGTTATGTATAAACTTTAAAGACTACTACACTGAATAAACTAATAACGACAAATTAATGAGCGAATACTTCGCAACATAAAATGATACAAAAACATAAAAAGCATAAAACATAAAAACCTTTTAGAACCGCCCTTTGATTAACAATGCTATTACGACTGCATGGAACTAAGCACACGCACACTATCAAACAATGCACAAGGAAAGCAAAGTCTCGCGTCGCATTTTTCAGTAGAGTCAAATTTGTTTGGCTGTGCATTTAGCAATTCTTGTTGAATTTAGAATTTATTATAATATTAAATATTCATAATATATAGTAAGTCTGGAAAAACGAGTAAGTGCGTGAATTTTTAGTGAATAATAAAATGATCTATGATATCAAATAATAATTGGCTAAGAACATATTTTGTGAACAGTTTATAATTAAAATCAAGCGGTTAATTAACACAATTTTGAGTTTTAAAGGTTAAAGTACGTAAGTATATTTATTACTTATATTATATAAATCAACATACATATTTAGTAAACAATGATGTGTTTTATATATTCTAGATTGACTAAATTGAAGTGGATGTAAAATCAGCTGTAATATAAAAACTATCACATAGCAAAAATGGATATGATAAAAGGTAATAAAAATATATTAACAAACCTATTAAATGCAGACTTTTCAATAATTTATTATCGCTTTTGAATATTTGATATTCGTATTTCCATCAACAGTTTTTTGTTTTAATTTAAAATTAAATAAAAGTTAAAATTTTATATTTACTGTGTTTTTAATTATTTCAGATTTAACT